AACTATCTTAATCTTGTCTACCCTTACCCAACTATTTAGAGCTACAGTCACCCAAATTAGGGCCAAAGGTTTACAATTTCGGAGCACTATTCAGTGTACTTAATTTTGTTTGGTGTGGAAATAGTACAATGATATATCTTGTTTAGATCATTAGACCTTAATATTAGAAAAGCTTTGTAGCAAAAGACGGGGTCTATATTTTTCTATTTCATTTCATTTTGATTTTGAAAATTATTAGAGGCCGTTAAGACTACAGGTCACCTATGATCCATGGATTTCGAATACAAGGATTTGAAGATCATTAGAAGGGTAAAAAGGTAATTTTTCCTCTTGAATTTCAACTCACCAATTAGATTTATTTTGTGGATTCATATCATTTATCATATTTGATTTCCATTATATATGTTTTAGAATGTAGATGGGCAGTTTTTTAATTGGGGAAGCTACAGATACAAGGAGTTAGATTAATCAAGCTATCCGCAAATCCCTACTGTCCCTACTTCAACCGATAAAACCTTGAGAGGATCAAACAAACCTTATGGAACTTGGTATCTATTTTGAATACAACTCTTAAACCCTAATTCTTTTAATCAGAGAAACTGTATAAACCTAACTAGGTTTATTAGAAACTAGCACATACATGCATACAAATACATAGAGAGGAATAAGTGAGAATCATGACTTTTCGGGGGGGAAAAAAAAAAGTGAGAATCATAGAGCAATAGACATATAGAGCATATAACTTGAGAGTAGAATTTTTTTTTTCTTTTTTTACATCAACATCTAGTATCATACATTTAAATGCTTTTATAATTTAGCGTTGAATAATTATACTCAAAGAGCATCAAATATTTCAACACCAAAGTGACCAAATCACACAAGGAGCAGGAAGCTTGGATTGCTAGTAATGGAGGTCAATGATGGTAAGAAGAAGGGATTGCATTGATGAACAGACTCATAAACTGATAGCAGCGAAGTTCATTGAGAAACATATGTCACAACTCTGGATACATAAGGGATCCTATGGGGCTTAGAATCTATGGGATCCCCACTAGTTTAACAAACCTACACACTAGCCCTTAGTTTTAAATTTTTACTCACGTTTATGTTATGTTATCACGTTTTTCCCTCCGTTAGTGTTGACCATTAGTCAACGCCTGTGAAAGTTGATGTCAGCCGAAAAAAAGAAATGTAGTCCCATTTTTACCCTTCAAAAATATGGAAAGACTATAATGTACTTTTAACATTATTGTGAAATTTGCTCCACTCCCTCTTTGCGTTTGGTGGTGCATTTGGAAGGAGCGGAATAGTAGATCTTTTGAAGGGAAAGAATCTTCCACTGTGGCCTTGAAATATGTTTTTTTTTTTTTTTTTTTTTTTTTGATGAGTAGAAATATGTTATTATTTGTTCTCTTTCTAGTTGGGTGATGGGGAGAAATTGTATATCTGTAGAGGAAATCGTTGATTTTTTTGGGTTCTTTGGGTCCTTAGGACCTCTTTCTTGGCTTCGGCCCCTATATAGCTTTTAGGATGGGTTCCCCTTTTGAAGGCTTTCTAATATATCTTTACTTATAAAATAAAATATCTTACTTATCAAAAAAATAAACATTATTGTGAGATCACATTCTTATCCCTATTAAAAGGAATGACGAAAAGATAAGATTTCCCTAGCATGCCTAAGCTCCAAAAAACACCCAGGTTCGTCAAGGCTTAGTTAGAGTGCCTCAACGCTGTACAGGCCACCTCACATAAAGCTCTCAGACTCGCACATTTTAATAGGTTCCAGGCTATAAAAAATATATATTATTATTATTATTATTTTTAATAATTTATTCAAATTATTTTTTTTCTATTAAATGACAACTAAATTAGAATGTTAATCACTGTCATATTTAACGGATATGAAACATTTGACAAAATTCATATTTTTATGGTTCACTAACTACATTAATCACATTTAGTGCTTGATTATGAATATTTACGATAATATATGTTTATCGTTTTGCATAGTTTTAGTTTTAAATTGTTTAAGATTTATAATCATATTTAATTTAGCTAATGCATATGCATATGAAATGATTTATGATTATTAATTTATCCTCTTAGTTGATATATTAAAAATCCCATTTTTAAAGAATTTTTTTTTATTAGTTTAGCATATCTTGAATTGTTCTTATCCTACACTGATTTTATTGAATTCATATGGAAACAAAAAAGATATATGTATGTTGATTTAGTTAATTTATTGAATTGATATGTTGGATACTTGGATATATTTCTTGTTTTGATATTGACAAATGCGTTGCACAGTTTAATCATTCTTTATATACTTATAATATGCATAATGATCACGCACGCACCTTAGTTCGATCAGTCTCAGGTCTTCTGTTGCATCTTGCGCTTAGGCTCGAGAAGACATTTGGTGCCTTAGTGTGCCTTGAGCCTTTAACAACTATGGATTGAAGAGATTATCTTTTATGTTTAAATTTTTTATAAGTACTTGATTGAAGAGATGGTATTTGTGGAGGGCGCGGAATAATAGATCCTTTGAGGAAAGGAATCCTTGATTGTTGTTCTTAAGTCAGCCTTTATTACATCTTAATGTTTTTGGGGTTCAGGTAGGCTTTGTTCCTCCCCGGAGGAGATGATTGATTTTATTTCTTCCTTGGGACCACAGGAACCCTTTGTTGTTTCTGGGACGCATTCCCCTTTTGACGCCTTTTGAATGAATTTGCTTAATTAAAAAAAAAAAAAAAAAAAGAAGAAGAAGATGATTAATCTCTGATAGACGCTCAACAATAAAAGAACTCCAGAAAAACACTCTCACTAAGACTTGCAAAACTTAATCATAAGAAAAATATTCAAATTCAAAATTTAAAATTAACTAGACTTAGCAACTTAAAGATAGTCTCTCTTACATGCCTTCAAACTAGACTTTCATTAGTGAAAAGCTACCTTGAAACTTGGGTCCAATCAACAGCGTATCTTCCACTAAATATATATATATATATATATAATAGTTAAAAGAATTGATAATTCCAAACTTCCCATCACCACAATAAGAACAATAGACTGCACCAAAGAGACGTCTTTTTTTTTTTTTTTTTTTTTTTTTTTAATAAGTTGCACCAAAGAGATGTCATGGGGATTCAGATCTTGGTTTTGTTGCAAACTATCAGTTTTGTTACCATTCCATGGATCATTATCGGTCCTTCAAAACCCCTCAGTGTACATCTCATACATACTTTTTAAGGTAAAGTGCAATAAACCCCCTTCAACTATACCCCAAGTGCAACTAACCCCCCTCAACTACAAATAGCCCCCCTTAACTATGGTCTTGGTGTAGTCTTAGGACAGAGAATATTTTTCAGGGCATTTCTAGCTACCGGAATTTGGAAAAGTCTAATTTACCCCTTCATAAAAGGGTGCCGCATGATACAGGAGAAAATAAAATGCCTATAGGACACGTGTCAGCAGCCTATTGGCTGCTGACTTTGTTATTATTTTTTCCTTTTCTTCTCTCTTCTTTTCTTTATCTTCAACTGGGTCTCTTCTCACTCCCCTCTCTCTCTCTAACTCAATGAACCCCCAAATTGAAAAGGCGACGGCGAATCCGGCGATTGACAGAACGGCGGGCAAGGCGGTGACGAGCTTGGCTGTGGCGGCTTGATGGAGACGGGCTGGCTGTGACGGCAAGGTGGAGACGGGCTAGTTGTGACGGCTAGGTAGGTGGACTGAACGGTAGATACGGTGGCAGCTCAGCCGGTGGAGGGCTCGGCAGACTCGGCCGTGAATGACTCGCGGCGGCGAGCTTGGCGGGATTTAACGGCGGCCGAACTCACGACGAGCAAGGAGGCTTCGGACGGTGGAGAAGAAGAAGATGGCCTCGGCGATTTTGGATTTGGATGATGTTGGCTGTGATGGACAACGGGTGGTGCAGCGGTGGTGACGGACCGACGAGAGCTCGGCTGTGAGGAAGAAATGCGGCGGTAGAGAGGAGCGGCCAACAAGGAGGAATCCAACGGCAGAGACGAGCATATTTCTTTACATGTAGACTAAAATTGTTTAAGTTTTTTATTTTTATTTTTTTTTCCTCCAATAATCAGCGATTCAGCCATTATCATCTTCTAAAAAATGAGTAAAGGAACAATTGAAAGAAATTCTATTGTTTGTTAATATCTATCCATCGGCTTCAGTTTTTAAAAGAAATGTATTATGTGTTGTTATATATATATATATATATATATCCATCGGCAAATTTAAAGGTTTTACTTTATGACCATATAACGTATACATATATGATATATATCCATCATCTGTCAGCCCTTAAATTGTCATAGATTCATTTTGCAGCTTCAACTTCATCTTCGTTTTCATTTTCTGAACGAAACTTATGGTTCTATCTATGATTGCTGAAAGATTTGCAGAGACTAAGAATCCCATAGAGTAGAGAGAGAATGCCGGCTCAGCATGTGAAAGGCTTCTTATTCTGTAATTGGGTTTTGATTTTTTGATTTTTTTTTTTATTTAATAAGGGTTGAATGGTCATTTACATAAATTTGCCCTAGAAATTGATCGGCCGGTTACCGGATTGGGTAAAGTGCAACAAATTGAATAGTTTAAGAGGTTTTTTTGCTCATTTTGAAGTTCAGGGGGGTTTTTTGCTCATTGGGATATACTTTAGGGGGGTTTACTGCACTTTACCCTACTTTTTATTCAAATATGAATATTATTACTTTTCAGGGGAAAGAGGAGGAAAACCAAAGGGAGTATGTAAACCGAAATATATGGCTTCACTTCAAGGAAGAGGTTAAAATTTTAAATGACCCACAGCAGGTCTGAAAGACTTTAAACAACTATCTTAAGGTGCTTTATGTCATGTGATTGACCAAGTTCACAGGCAAATGATAATTTCTACAATGGCATTCAGATAACGATTGAAATTCAAGCAAGAACAACAAAATAAAAGGACCTATAAGTTCTAAAGGGATTAAACAAACCTTTGCTACGAGCACTTCACTCAATCTTGAATACAAATAATCCCGGCGAGTCTTCAATTCTTTCAAATTAGTATTGTACTCAATTAATCTGCATTTGAGGAAAAAATAACATACAAAATTATTCCCAGTTAACAACAAAACTATTTAGCAAAACTGCATCAACTTAGGAGAACTATTATCCGAACTCGGGTCTCTGTAATTAATGCATATTACACTGAAATTGCATCTTTAAACAAAATCAAATGCAACTGCTGTCGGTCTTCAGCCAGAGTATAATCCAATTAAGAAATTCTGATACCAAATTTTGAGAACATACCTGTAATTGACACAAACGGTGCAAATAGACGCTAGATTTGAGTTCTCACAAATAGCACAGCAACTAGTTTTTCTCGTCATCGTCTAGCCCTTCCTCAAAAGAGGAAACCACATAACCAAATTCCAAAACCCTAAACGATAACACATCCAAAATCGTCACCCAGGTCACTATATAATCTGAATATATATATATATGAACGCATATATAGGAACAACAAATTCAAATAAGATATTGATTTTGTTGATCACGATTTGATCGTATTGGAATTAGACTGAGGAAACAAGAGAACTTACCGGCAATTCTCGATAATCGCTAAACTCCACGACGGTAGTACGGTATATGAACGGAATAGTAGTGTCGCTAAACTCAGAAACGTGACTTAGGGTTCACAGGCGCATGCGTAAAAGTGACTTAGGGTTCACATGCGCATGCGTAACGTGTGTATTGAAATGCTGATTGATTGAATTTTAATGTAAATTATGACAATGGGGTTGAATTGTTCGTGGCAACGATGGTTGTAGTGATCTACATATATGTATATACAAGTTGATGATAGAATAATTATTCTATGTCTATTGGAATTGGTTGGTGATGGTGAGAGAGAGAAACAAGGGTTGAGATGTTGTTGTGGAAAACAGAGAGGTGGGGGAGGCAACAGTGGCGGAGGGATGGTGGCGATACAGCCTTGCGACAGACACAGAGGGGTTGAGGCAACGATACGGTGGAAATGGGGGCGTAGCTTGAATACTATATATATATATTTATATGTATCGTGGTGATATATATATATATATATATATATATATATATATATATATGATATATTTAATAGGTATATAATTCCCATTTTATTAAAAACAAAAATTCGTAATTTATATATATTTAATACACAATTTGTGGATAAATTATAAAATTTAAAAATTAAATGAATACTTACATATATTGAACAAATTTCTTTAATCTTTTAAATTTTAATTTTACATTTTGTCTTTTGTCTTTTGTCTTTTGTAGGGGTAATTTGGTCCAATTACTAATAGTTATAATGATGATTTTATTTGAATTTTTTTTTTTTTAACCCGGAGATAATTTTTTTTGATTGATAAGGTTAATTTTATAAATGTAGTAATTTAAGAATTTACAGTATTTTTGCTTGGCTCAAGGGTGGTCACAGTTAACCTTAGGAGAGGTTGACTGTGATATATGTGGGCAATAAACCAAAAACTTTGAAGGTGGTCTGGGTATTTTACCATGATTTTTTATTTTTTTTACCTGGCAATAGTTAGATTGCTAGTAATTAATGGAATTAGGGGAAAGAAGATGATAACCTAGAATCATGGGAGTACCAAAGACGGACTATTTTATTACGTGAGCAATAGCATCATACCTAACTTACCCTTGATTTAAATATTAAAAATTTAACAGCAATTCGAAAGGCTTTTACCAACTAAGTAAGGATCCACTTTTCTAAGAAGGCAAATTCTTTATTTTATTTTTTTTTTAAATTAAAAATTAAAAACTAGATCTCATTTACAGGTCAAAGAATTTAAATTTAATTTAGGATAAAAAAATTAAGTGTAAAACCTAAAAAAACCCTACTATATAAAAAAGTGTTAAAAAAAAAAAAAAAAACACAGCAGAGTTTAGTATTTGTGTATAAATTTTTAACATTTGAAAATAGAGTTAAGTGTAAAAAAACTCCATCATGTACAACTACTCCCATGTGGTTCAAAAAATCCCTACATTTTTCAATTTAAGCAAATAAGGACAATTCTTCAATTTGGTCAAAATTGAATAATGAAATGACTAAAGCACCCTTGTGATATATACTAGTAATATATAAAAATAAAATAAAATAAAATATATCTTTCATGGGATGATAAAGTTAAATTAAAACTAGATCTCATTTACGGGTCAAAGAATTTAAATATAATTTAGGATTAAAAAATTAATGCTAAAACCTAAAAAAAACCCTCCTATATAAAATTGTGTAAAAAAAAACACTGCAGAGTTTAGTATGTGTGTATAAATTCTTAATATTTGAAATAGGGTTAAGTTCAAAAAAACCATACATTTTTCAATTTAAGCAAATGGTCAAAATTGAACAATGAAATGACTAAAGCACCCTTGTGATATATAATATATCAATAAATAAATAAAATCTATCTTTCATTGGAAGATACAGTTTGTCCCTATTTTTATTGGACAAAAATAGCATTAATAAAACATGTCATATCATTAAAAATTATGGGCATGTATGTAATTTCAAACTCTATCATTTCCACCTTCTTTTTCAATCTTTATTTATGTCCATGTTTACTCGATCACCATAATAGAAGCAACGGCAAAACCACAACCACCACAACAGAAGCAGCCATAGAACTACAACCTGCACTGTGACGACCCTGGTTTTTCAAGCTAGTGCGTCCTATGATGAATAGAAGATTGACCCTATAACGGATCCAAATGCGGAAGCGGAAACAGAAAACATGACCTTGGAGATGCAATGCATCTCTAAGAAGCCAGAGTGACCTTCCATCAGGCCACGGATCTCAACAAGAACAATGCAAAAATGAATGATTAGAAAAAAGACCGAACAAGCCCCCAAGGGCAAAATAGTCTTTTCACATGGAAGCAACATCCTTGGGAATGTACATCATTCCTAAGACACATACGTGACTTCAGACTTCCCATGAAGTCACGGGACTCATAAGAAAGTAGCGAAAACAAATTAAAAGAAAACCAGACAAATTTAGCCCCAAGGGCAAAATGGTTATTTCTGAAAATATAAAATCGGGTGCTACCGAATACACCACTAGAAAGACAGCAAAAAATTAATCAAGTTAGACCCAAGAATCACTTGATTCGGAGTCCGGATGAAGAAGATATGAAACTTCAAAATTTCATAAAATCAAACTTTTGGATTTGAAATCGGTGCGGCAAGGGTACTTTACAAGGGGTAAAATGGTCTTTTCAGACAAAACTAGATACAACTGAGCATACCATTAGATAGACAAAGAAAAATTAATAAATCTAGACTCAAGAATCACTTGATTCGGAGTCTGAATGAAGAAGATATGAAACGTCAAAGTTTCAAAAAAACATACTTTTGGGTTTCAAATCAATGCGGCAAGGGTAATTAGCAAGGGGTAAAATGGTCCTTTTAGATAAAATTGGATGCAACCGTGAACTCCGTTGGATAGACAATCAAAAATTAATAAACTTAGACTCAAAAATCACTTGATTTGGAGTCGGGACAAAGAAGATATGAAGCCTCAAAATTTCAAAAAAATCAACTTTCCGAATTCAAATCTGGGCAGGGTTTGCACAGATTTTTGGATTTCAAATAGGGTTTTGGGGGCTTAAACCAATGGCGTAGCCAGAAATTTTCTTCGGTGGGGGCAATTTTTAACAGTAATAATATATATATATATATATATATATATATACATATTATTTGAACCAAAATAATATATGTAAAAATTAAACAGTACTAAATATTTCAGAATATTTTTCATATTCTGAAAGCACGCAATCGAGTTTTCAAAATGTTTATGGCATAATAATAGTAAATTTAGATAATAAAAAAATATATATCAGATTACTTGTCTCCGCACTGCAGTATTTGTTTGGATTTTGTGAATTTTTTAAATATTAAAGAAATGTTGAAGATTGAAAATGTGATGGAAATTAACAATGCATTTGGAAATTAACAATGCATATAAGTAATGCCTTATCTATTACAACTCCACTCGGGAGCGCGACGACACTTGATAGAATATGTCGTGCTTGCCCTGTTACAATTGGGGAGTTGGAGTATCCTATTGATTTAATAGTATTACGTATGAGAGAATTTGATGCTATACTGGGTATGGATTAGTTGGCTAGATATCATGCTCAGTTGGACTGCCATGAGAGGATTATTGTATTCTCAGTTCCGGGACAGTTTCCTTCTCGATATAAGTGTGGGGAGTTTGAGGGCACCATGACTATGGGATTTCTGGCCCACATCGAGGTGGTTGAGCAATGCGTGACTATAGAGCAGTTGCCTACAATGTCAGAGTATGCAGATGTGTTTCGGGATATTCCGGGTTTGCCTCCTAGGAGGGCAGTGGATTTCTGCATCGACCTCACTCCTGGTATTTCACCTATCTCTAGGGCACCCTACAGAATGGCGCCAGTTGAATTGAGTGAGTTGAAGAAGCAGACTCAAGAGTTGCAAGATCGGGGGTTTATTCGACCTAGCACATCACCGTGGGGAGCACCTGTTCTTTTTGTCAAGAAGAAGGATGGGTCACTCCGCTTATGTGTTAACTACCGTGTGCTGAATAAGGTCACTATTAAGAACAAGTACCCATTGCCACGCATCGATGATTTGTTTAATCAACTCAGAGGGGCGCAGTTGTTCTCTAAGATTGACTTGAGGACTGGGTACCATCAGCTGAGGATTAGGGATAAGGATATTCCTAAGACTGCCTTTAGGACTCGTTATGGCCTCTATGAGTTTTTAGTCATGCCTTTTGGGTTGACTAACGCTCCGGTAGCTTTTATGGATTTGATGAACCGAGTGTTTCGACCTTACTTGGATCAGTTTGTTGTGGTATTTGTTGATGACATTCTGATATATTTCAAGACTAAGGAGGAACATGAGAGACACTTGAGCATTACACTTCAGACTTTGCATGAGCATCAACTCTATGCTAAGTTTGAGAAGTGTGACTTTTGGCAAGAGCAGATTCAGTTTTTGGGGCACGTGATCTCTAAAGATGGAGTTTCAGTAGATTCTGCCAAGGTGGAGGCTGTGATGAGTTGGAAACGGCCTACTACTGTCACTGAGATTCGTAGCTTCTTAGGACTGGCAGGATACTACAGGCGTTTCATTGAAGGTTTCTCCAAGATTGCTACACCATTGACCCGTTTGACTCGGAATGATGTGAAGTTTGTTTGGGATCATCGCTGTGAGCAGGCATTTGAGGAGTTGAAGACGAGATTGACTTCGGCACCAGTTCTTACCATTCCTGTTAGTGGTGAGAGATTTGTGATTTACACAGATGCATCACATCAGGGTCTTGGCTGTGTTTTGATGCAAGATGACAAGGTGGTAGCGTATGCCTCTAGGCAGCTTAAGCCACATGAGCAGAATTACCCTACACATGATCTGGAATTGGTAGCAGTGGTTCTTGCATTGAAGGTGTGGAGGCATTACTTGTATGGCGAGGAATTTGAAATATTCTCTGATCACAAGAGCCTCAAATACCTCTACACTCAGAAGGAGTTGAATATGAGGCAACGAAGGTAGATGGAGAAGATGAAGGATTTTGATATGACTCTTCAGTATCATCCTGGAAAGGCAAATGTGGTAGCAGATGCCTTGAGTTGGAAACCGAGAGGATTAGTTGCCTTTATGATGATTCAGGAGTGGATGATGTTAGAGGCATTGGCAGAGTTTTCTATCATGCCGAGTTCTCAGAGTACAGGGGCTATTCTTTGTTGTTTGACTGTACAACCTACTTTGATCAGCCGGATCATTCATTTTCAGACTCTGGATGACAGGTTACAGACTAAAGCAGTTGAGTCTGTTAGTGATGAAGGTAATGTTGACTGGGCGTATGGAGCTGATGGTGGTATGAGATTTCGAGGTAGGCTATGCGTTCCAGACTTAGCAGACCTCAAGAGAGAGATTTTAGAGGAGGCACATCACTCTAGGTACACAGTGCACCCAGGTGGCACTAAGATGTATCATGA